ATAAGAAGCTATGTCATAAAACATTACCAGTAGAATTCCAATTCATATATAGATGGATTTATTACTAACAAAATATGGTTAATTATGTCACTGGCATTCATGGGTAGCTGCAGAAACGATCCCTGGGTAATACCCTCTCTTAGTTTTGTTAGGATGCCTTAAAAAGTGTTTAATCAAAACAGTCAAAACTGGCTCAGCAGAGCCAGTTAAATTCAATACAGCTCAGCTCAGAAGGTTTGAGTCTGTTTGTTTGTTTGATTTTGGGGAGTGGGAATTCCAAAGGCATATTCTGGCTTGATGTTTATCAGAGGACACAGGATGATCATAGGAAGAAATTTTAAGAACATTGAAAACTGCACTGGTGTGAAAAATAGCAGGAAAGTTGATCTGAGGAATATTCTTTCCATCACAAAATGCACTTGTTCACTCTTCAAGGACTTTCCATAAGAATTTCTTTGGGAAGCCTTATCCCTATCCACCCCAAACCCTGATGTTGCCCTTTGTGTTAGACAGGGTTCTCTAGAGAAACAAAACCAGAACACTAATAATTATATATATTTTTATACAGATAGATAGATAGATAGATAACATAAGAAATAAACAGTTAATTAAATTATAAAGCAGTACAAATGGCTCAGTGCAACTCACTCCTGTGAGACAGTTGTGAGACACTGGTAGTCCTTCAAGTCTTGAGGGCCACTGGGTTGTCCTCTGTAGAGCAATTCAGGCTATCCAGGCACAGGCAGCAAACAGCAAGGCAGGTCACCAACAGTCAGCCAGATGACAGGGTCTGACAGTACTCAGCTCAAGAGATGTAAATTCCAATGGTGTGACAAAGCAGGTCTTGAAGGAATCTCAAATTACAGGGACACCATCCACGGGTTAGTTGTCCCACAGGTACTGTAGCTTGCAAATTGAGGTATAGAACAAGCAAGGCAGCCACATACTGGTCCTATGATCAAAGAGCGAGAGACAAGAAAGGCGAGGCTCCCTGAGCCATTTATCCCTCCGCCCTTCAATTAATCCCACATGTTTATTGGCCAGGTTGGCACAATAAACTAACTACCTCACCCTTTCAGACTTATTTTGTCTTCAAAGGTTAGAATGACTCAAGGACACCAAAACTGCTCTTTTGAGATGGTATGAATCAAAGAGTGCAGAATTCCTTAGAAAATCATTAGAAAGATGGAAACACTGCCTTCAGAAATGTGTAGACCGAGATGGAGGTTATATTGAAAAGCAGTACCTTCACATTTGATATTTTGAATACAATTTTCTATGATTCTGTAGCCATTTTTTCACTTACCCATGCATATAGAAATTCTGATTTCCTATCACTTCCTTGACCTCTTTCATCCTGGGCTATGCAAACTTTATTTTCCACCCATTTTTACCCTTTCCCTCACACATACAATAGAACAATAGCTAGATGATCTAACTCGGTTTATATCACTCTTCTGTTCAAATGTCTGCAATAATGTTCTACCTCACTGATTCGTAGCCGTGCCCACTAGCTGTTAGTACATACCTGTGCCGTATGCTCCATGTGATCTGGTGGTGCGTTACCTCTGACCTAATTGTAATGTTTCATCTTTCTTTGTCCATATTGGGATAAGTTTGTCTCATAGTTTTAAACTCCATCATTTCGTTCACTTTTACTCTAGGGACACCTTTTCAGCCAAACCTTTCCTAATCTCCCCAGCCAAAGCAAAACTCTCTCGCTGCCATTAAGCTAATTCTGACTCATCATGACTTACAGAACAGGACCGAACTGTCCCAGTGGGTTTCTGTGACTAACTCTTCAAAGGAGTAGAAAACCTTTTCTTTCTCTCCTGGAGCTGGCTGGTGATTTCGAACTGCTGACCTTGCAATCATCAGCCCAATCTGTAACCACTACACCATCAGGGCTCCCTTTCTGTGTAAAAGTGATCATTCCCATCCCTCTTTCTGAAAACTTCGTATTTTCCCTTTCTATCTCTCTTCTCACAGAGCCTATCAGGCCTGGGAGAGCCAGGATCAAGTTGATGTCCGTGAGTTTGTTGAGCTCCCTCCCTCTGGGAACCCTGGTGGCGAGTGGGTTATGTGTTGAACTGCTAATCACAATGCCAGCGGTTTGAATCCTGAAGTTGTTCCCAGGAAAAAAAGACGCTGTCCGCTCCAATACAGATTTAAACTCTTGGATAGCCAAAGAGGAAGTTGCACTCTGCTCTGTAGGGTGGGTGTGAGTTGGAAATCGCATTGATGGCAGTAAGATTTTCTTATATCCTTCCTCTGAAGGAGCCTTGATGGTGTATTGGGTTGTACATTCAGCTACAAAGCATAAGTCAGCAATTGTAACTCATCCGCTGTGGTGAAGGAAGAACAGTGAGGACATGAAGCTATACATATTTATAAATATTGCTCCTATAAATACTTACAGCCTCGGAAACAATAGGAGAAGCAGTTAGATTCTGTTCTATGGGATCACAGTGTGCTAGTTCCCTCCTTTAGACACCCTACTGGTACAGTAGTTAAAGCCTTCTTTTGCTTGACCAAAAGTTCAGTAGTTCAAACTCACCATAGAGTAGGGTAATACTGCTGCATAAGTTTTCCATGAGAAAGTTTCTCTTTTATAGTCATCACTACCTAATGACAGGCAATTTATTAATCGTTCTTATTTATTAAAAAACTCTCTCACTAGATGAGAATCTGCACCAAGGGAGAAGTTTGTTCATTGCCTTATGTTTAAGGCCCCACAGCTCTTAGAGCATGGTAGGGGCTCAGCGTCTATTCGGTGCGTCATTGAATACAACCTATTCATCAGTGATGAGATTCAAATAATTTCATTGTCCTAGTGACCGTTTTAAGTATAAAAAATAATATACTGAAAGGTAGTTTATTATTTTGTGCAGTTAATATTTAAATAAGAACAATAAAAGAGTTACATAAAACTTTATTATGTTATAAGAAGTTTTTTAAAAAATCATTTTATTGGAGGATCCCATACATCAATATAGCAGTCTATACATCATTTGTATCAACCATATCTGTATATGTGTTACCATCATCATTTTCTAAACATTTACTTTCTATTTGAGCCTTTGATGTCAGCTGTGTTAGTCCGGGTAGACTA